AACATAGAAAGAATCAGTGAAAGCAAGAGCTGGTTCTTCAAGAAAATAAACAAAATAGATAAAACCCCTAGCCACACTTACCAAGAAAAAAAGAGAGTCTACACACATAAACAGAATCAGAAATGAGAAAGGAAAAATCACTACGACACCACAGATATAAAAAGAATTATTAGAAAATACTGTGAAAAATTATATGCTAACAAACTGGATAACATAGAAGAAATGGACAACTTTCTAGAAAAATACAACCTTTCAAGGCTGACCAAGGAAGAAACAGGAAATCTGAACAGACCAATTATGAGCAACGAAATAGAACTGGTAATCAAAAAACTACCTAAGAACAAAATGCCTGGACCAGATGGCTTCACCACTGAATTTTATCAAACATTTAGTGAAAACCTAATACCCATCCTACTTTAAGTTTTCCAAAGAGTAGAAGAGGGAATACTTCCAAACTCATTCTATAAGGCCAGCATCACTCTAATACCAAAACCAGGCAAAGACACAACAAAAAAAGAAAATTACAGACCAATATCCCTGATGAACATAGATGCAAAAATACTCAACAAAATATTAGCAAACCGAATTCATAAATACGTCAAAAGGATCATCCATCATGATCAGGTGGGATTCATCCCAGGGATGCAAGGATGGTACAATATTTGAAAATCCATGAACATCATCCACCATATCAACCAAAAGTAGAACAAAAACCACATGATCATCTCCATAGATGCTGAAAAAGCATTATGGAGGTTACTCAAAAATTTGTGGAACAAAATTCAACATCCATTCATGATAAAACCTCTCAACAAAATGGGTATAGAGGGCAAGTACCTCAACATAATAAAGGCCATATATGACAAACCCACAGCCAACATTATACTTAACAGCGAGAAGCTGAAAGTTTTTCACCTAAAATTGGGAACAAGACAAGGATGCCCACTTTCCCCACTTCTATCCAACATAGTACTGGAGGTCCTAGCCATGGCAATCAGACAATATAAAGAAGTAAAAGGCATCCATTTAGCAAGGAAGAAGTTAAACTGTCCCTGTTTGCAGATGATATGATTTGTACATAAAAAACCCTTAAGAATCTACTCCAAAACTACTTGATCTAATATCTAAATTCAGCAAAGTTTCAGGATACAAAATTAATACACAGTAATCTGTGGTATTCCTATACACTAACAATGAACTAGCAGAGAGAGAGAAATCAGGAAAACAATTCCATTCACAGTTGCATCAAAAAGAATAAAATACCTAGGAATAAACCTAACCAAGGAAATGAAAGAACAATACCCTGAAAACTACAAGACACTCATGAGAAAAATTAAAGAAGATACCAATAAATGGAAACACATCCCGTGCTCTTGGATAGGAATAATTAATATTGTCAAAATGGCCATCCTGCCTAAAGCAATCTACAGATTTGATGTAATTCCTATTAAAATACAACAGCATTCTTCAACGAACTAGAGCAGATCATTCTAAAATTCATATGGAACCACAAAAGACCTCAAATAGCTAAGGCAATTCTGAGAAGGAAGAATTAAGCTTGGGGAATTATGCTCCTCAACTTCAAGTTTGACTATAAAGCCACAGTAATCAAGACAGTTTGGTACTGGCACAAGAACAGACCCATAGACCAATGGAACAGACTAGAGAGCCCTGATATAAACCCAACCGTATATGGTCAATTAATACATGATAAAGGAGCCATGGACATACAATGGGGAAATGACAGCCTCTTCAACAGCTGGTGTTGGCAAAACTGGACAGCTACATGCAGGAGAATGAAACTGGATTATTGTTTAACCGCATACACAAAAGTAAACTCAAAATGGATTAAAGACTTGAATGTAAGTCATGAAACCATAAAACTCTTAGAAGACAACATAGGCAAAAATCTACTGAATATAAGCATGAACAACTTCTTCCTGAACGCATTTCCTCGAGCAAGAGAAACAAGACCAAAAATGAACTCATGGGACTACATCAAACTAAAAAGTTTCTGCATGGCAAAGGACACCATCAACAGAACAAAAAGGCATCCTAAGTATGGGAGAATATTTTTTTAAATGACATATCCAACAAGGGGTTCACATCCAAAATATATAAAGAACTTACTACACGCCTCAACACCCAAAAGCAAATAACCTGATTAAAAAATGGGCAGAGGATATGAAGAGACAGCTCTCCAAAGAAGAAATTCAGATGGCCAACAGACACATGAAAAGATGCTCCACATCACTAATCATCAGGGAAATGCAAATTAAAACCACAATGAGATATCACCTCACACCAGTAAGGATGGCCAGCACAGAAAAAACTAAGAACAACAAATGCTGGCGAGGATGAGGAGAAAGGGGAACCCTCCTACACTGCTGGTGGGAATGTAAGCTAGTTCAACCATTGTGGAAGCAATATGGAGGTTACTCAAAAAACTAAAAATAGAAATACCATTTGACCTGGGAATCCCACTCCTTGGAATTTACCCTAAGAATACAATTCCTCAGACTCAAAAAGATATATGCATCCCTATGTTTATTGTAGCACTATTTACAATAGCCAAGATATGGAAGCAACCTAAGTGTCCATCAGTAGATGAATGGATAAAGAAGAGGTGGTACATATACACAATGGAATACTATTCAGCCATAAGAAAGAAACAAATCCTACCATTTGCAACAACATGGATGGAGCTGGAGGACATTATGCTCAGTGAAATAAGCCAGGCGGAGAAAGACAAATGCCAAATGATTTCCCTCATTTGTGGAGTATAACAAGGAAGCAAAACTGAAGGAACAAAATAGCAGCAGACTCAGAGACTCCAAGAATGAAATGGTAGTTACTAAAGGGGAGGGGTGTGGGAAGGCAGGTGGGGAGAGTGGGAGAAGGGGATTGAGGGATATTATGTTTAGTACATATGGTGTGGGGGATCATGGGGAGAACAGTGTAGAACAGAGGAGGCACATAGTGAATCTGTGGCATCTTGCTGCCACAAGTGACTGCATTGGGGTATGGGTAAGGACTTGATAATATGGGTAAATGTAGTAATGACATTGTTTTTTCATGTGAAATCTTTGTAAGAGTGTATATCAATAATACGTTAATAAAAAATTTAAAAAATAAGAATGACCACTATACAAAAGACAAAAAATAACAAGTGCTGACAAGGATGTAGAAAAAAGGGAACCCTTCTACAAAGTTGGTGGGAAGGTAAATTGATGCAACCACTGCAGAAAGCAATATGGATGTTCCTCAAAAAGCTAAAAAGTAGAAATACCATAAGACCCCATAATTCCACTTCTAGGAATTTACACCCAAAGAAAACAAAATCCCTGATTCAAAAAGGTGTATACATCCCTATGTTTATTACTGCATTATTGAAAGAGCCAAGTTATGGGAGCAACCTAAGTGTCCATCAGTAGATGAATGGATAAAGAAGTGGTACATATACACAGTGGAATATTATTCAGCCATAAGAAGAAATCCTGTAATTTGCAACAATATGTATGGACCTACAGGGTATTATGCTCAGTAAAATAAGTCAGGCTGGAGAAAGAGACAAGTACCAAATGATTTCACTCATTTGTGGAACCTAAAAGCAAAACAAAATGATCAAAATAGTGGTTAACTCATAGACACTGAGAAGAGACTGGTGGTTACCATGAGGGAGGGGTTGGGATGGGTAGGGAGCATGAGGGGAATCAAGGGACACAAAAATTCTCCATCATAATATAAGTTGGTTATGGGAAGGTGATACAACATGGAGAATACAGCCAATGATTCTGTAACATCTCCCTATGTAGACAAATAGTAACTGCACTAGTAAGTGAGAATTTAATATGGGTAACTGTTGAACCACAGTGTTGTATACTTGAAACCAGTATAAGATTTTGTATTGATAGTTCAATAAAAAAAAATAATCAATGAGCAAATGAAAGTGACTGTTTTAATTTTATTAAAAGTTAACAGATTTTTAGTAGCATAAAGTTTAAAAGAAAGTTCAAAATCTACCAAGATTTCATGCTTTTTGGATTTCTAACTTTAATATGCTAAATATTAGCTTAAAATTTTTAACTGTAAAATACCCTATTTTGCACACATTCCTCCACTCCATACAGGAACACATACTCCCAGTGTCCCAAGGCATCCCGCTTCCTGGGGAGCCCTCTAATTGGCCTCCCCACATCCATTCTTCACCCTTCCCAACTAATCCTTTCAGTGATTGCCAAATGCAGACCTGTCCTTATCCCTCCCCTGCTCAGAATTCTTCAGTGGCTCTCCAATCCTTCATGATTAAGTTCAAGCTCCTCTTTGAGGTCCACCACAACTGGCCCTTGATGCACCTCTCTAGCCTCCTTCTGGCTCTCACTGTATCAGCACTTCCCACAGTGGACCAAGACCTTTGCAAGAGCTGCTTTTTTTACTGGACCACTAGCCTCATAGCCTCTCTTCACCTGGCTGGCTGCTAACCCCTTCAAAATTGAGCTGTATGCTACCTCCTCTGGGAAGCCTATACCATTTGCTAATGCTCTGGCTGGTTTATCACACAATATCATCTTTCTTTGACTTGTCTGACTCTCACCAAGAACTTCCATAGCAGGGACTATGCCTTCCAAACTCTTTATTCAGTCATGCAGTAGTTACTTCACAAATGTTAATAAATAAAAGAATGGAGTGGTTTGTAACACCAAAGACAAACCTATCTACTCAGAAAGTTACCCAGAGATCCTCCCTTTTTAAAGACCAGAAAATTAATTTTCCTTGCCTTATACTTCTGACTGAAGGTGTGAAGTAAGGATGGAAGAGGTGTAAGACTCACCTACGAGGAGATTGCAGGAGGGTTTTGCGAGCAGTATGCATATATGTATGGAGCTTAATGAACACCAGGGCTTTCCAGATCCTCTCTATAATTTTGTGAGGAAGAAGAAATGCTATCTCCAAGAAATAGCTTGCAAGACAGCTCGAGTTTTTATAAAATCCACACATACCAACGGCAAGGCCGGCTAGCGAAGCTGCACCCAGGCAGGACATGTCAGTGTGCACGGGTCTCTCGATAGTCTCATTAATCAGGTCTGATGTCATCTGCATGACAAAATTGTTCTTACAAACTCCTCCATCTGCCCTATGAGGAGCAAGATATTTTGAGAAATTATTCCAACAAAAGCATAAAAACATTATTAATTTTTTTAAAAGGGTCACTTTTTTTTTAGGTCCTTAATTTTAGGATTAACCTTTTAATTCCAAAACTGTATCACTCAGCATTTATCTGGCGATATAGGATCATTATCAGATCATCTTTAATTGCTTTTCTTATTCCTACCCTGTTTGTCCTGGGACTAGTGAAAATACGCCAAGTGAATAGCCAACATAATAATTCATTTGGACATTCCAGCAAAGGAAAGTTTATACTTCCATGCCAAAAGGATAGCCATACATACACAAAAAGAGATGTTAGAAGATTTTTATAATACATACATAGGTGCTCAAATCCTCCCAAATTCCATAGTTGTGTTATATTCTCCATAAATTCAAAATTAGCTTTCCTTTCCTCTCCAAATTGCTATGACCAAAAAGTTTGTGTAAAGAAGCTAGGCATAAATTCTTATTGAAATCTTGAATAATCATACGGATGAAAATACTAATTGCAGCTACCCTTCTAATTTTTAATTAAATATTTTAGAAACAAAGTTTACATACCGGATTTTTGTTATTGGAATATGGATCTCTTTCTGCATCAACTCATATAACTGTTTGTTTCTAATTAAAAAAACAAGATAGTAATTATTTAGAGGACATTCATATCATGATAATTCCCTATTTTTTCCAACCTAGAAAAATTAAAACTGTGGCTTTATTAACATGACATCTACACAATATGTGAAAGAAAATATTGAAGAAAGAGATTATGCTAGGTAAAAGTTGGTAACATACATCAAATAAAACAAGAGGCTCAGGACCTTGTGCTTTTCACCTTCATGCCAAGAGAGCACAATTTTAAGTTTATAGGAAAAGTTTAAAACCTCTAACTTATATAAGATTAAACCTATTGTTATTCTTACAAATAAAAATGTAAAGCATGCATCCATTTAGAGAGCTATTAAGATGACATACCATAAATAACATCTAATAGAATTCATCAAAATAGAAAAATAATCATTTTTTTAATCACAAAAAATTTTATTTTAAACATTACAGATGTTCCATATTTATGACAGTCACAGTCATAATTTTAATAAGCTACACCTTCCCCATAACAAAAGACCTCAGGGAAATATACATAAAGAATAATTTTGATGATTCAGTCTTTGAGATTAGCAGAAGTACTGTTAGAATTCTCCCTTATGAATAAGGATATTTTTGAAGTTCAAATTGTGAATCTCTTATACTTAAGAAATTGGATATTTTTTTAAAAAATCATTCAATTTGCAGATACCAAACCTAAGTGGTATTGGTACTAGTAAATATGAAAATAATAGATTCTGAGGAAATTAGCAAAAAGCAGATTATATCATATACAGAATGAATTTAAAGATATAAACAGTTAATATATTTCTTAAATTGGTTTAGAAACTAATAAACAGGAAATGACAACACTGCATGGGGAGGGGGAATTTAGGGTAGGCTTCCAAACCTGAAAGCTATCGACTCCAATATTGCTCGTACAAGATGGTATTTACTGGTGGAAGGCTTCAAGCCCATAAAAGAGGCACATGCACAGGGGTCATTTAATGGAGCCTAAAGTAAGAGATAGTAAGAATTGTTATTATTCTAAATCATACTGTAGACTTAAAGACATATTATACAATAAAAACATCCATGTTAGAAAAAAAGAATACTTTTTAGACTTAAAAAGTTTTAAAATAAATGATAGGCCCAAAATGCTAACTATTAGGGTAACTTTTTAACAGGACTTAAGCAGGGTTGGGTCACAGACACTGAACTGAGCTAGGCCTGTTTAATTTATACCAAGAAAAGGGACTGAAGCATGGCATTATAAGTTATTAAATGCCCAGCATTATGATGAGGAAAATGAAAAGCATTCCTACTATTTTCCGTCTTCTCCAGCTGTGAAGTTTTTACACTGAAACTGTTTACTACGTACAGTGACTTTTTGAGGATATAAGTTAGACTTAAGATAAAAAGCTATCATGCAAAAATTATGTTTTCCAGTGTCATAACTTACATCCAATATGTTGTCAGGCATTCAAACTAAGCTCTTCTATTTCTTAGCTTAACAGGTCTTACTTTCTAATATCAGAAATGATCCCAAAGATCCTGAAAAGAGCCAAAATCTTGAGCTGGAGTTATGAAGCCATCAGATGAAGTCTGCATTCATCTTTGCATCCACAGAAATGCAGGACAATTCCGGGACACGAAGGTGCAGGGCAAAGATCCCTGCCAGAGCCTGCAGGCTCACAGAGGACGGAAGAACAATTTCAACCCGCTCCACAAGGCGGCAGCGAAGGGACAAGCCAGTGCTGCCAGGAAAGGTTGGCCCCCAGAGAAAGCACCTTCTAGGGCCTTGACGCATCACCTCTACCTGGAAAACCTGCCACCACCCCTCCTCTGAGTTAATCCCACACCCCCTCCAAATCTTGGTTCAGCTTCCTTGGGGAGAACTTCCAACCTCAGAGATGAGGCTCCCCCCATCAGATGTTTCTGCGGAACCCTGTAACTTCCCATCCTATCGTATCACAGGTTACAATCACAGGTATCTGTGCGACTGTTGAGACCCTGTCGTCCCTGCTGCACTGCAAGTGTCCCAGGTGGGAACTCACTTGACGTGCTCGCTGTGTGTCTCCAGGCCCAGCACTGCAGCTGGCCCCCCAGAGGGGATCAGTACACACTTGGTGAATCAATGAACAAACAATATGTTTCTGAATTACGTAACTGAAGGAATTCTACATTGCATCTTATCATCTTATCTTTACTGTAGCTATGATTTTTTTCCTATCGCAGTTTTATCTTGATAATTAACACCTTTTGGTTATTTACTTGGTAAAAGCTGATTTACACAATAAAGCTGGTCTATATCAGGTGGTAAAATACTGTAAAACAAAAATAGGTCAGATTCTGCCAGTTCAGTTAGTCCCTAGCAGTAGCCTATGGTTTTTCCTGCATAAAAATTACTTCTTCCAATGTAAATCCTGGTATGACTGGCCTGAAATCACTTTGGTATAAATAGCTATGAACATAATTTACTATTCATAATAGGCCAATCTGAAGAATAATAAATTCCATAGGAACCAAAAATTTATTGGTCACAAAGTCCCCATGTCAGTCCTCTTTGGGATGATAAGGTAGGACAAACACTGGGAAGGTCCTTTTAAGAGCCTGGTCACACCCTGCCAGGGCAGACAGCCTCTAGCCTCACCTCCAACCTGTCACTACCTCCCAGGCCATCAACCAACTAGGAAAAGCAGGACTCAGCAAGGCTCTGCTTGGAGCCCTGAGCTGAGTTAGCAGACTCCTGTCGAAGGCAGACTACTTGCCCCAGCAGACCCTGTCACCATGGGAATCTCAGCCTCATCTGCTGGGGACGTGCGGATGGTTAATGCCAACGTGCTTCTTGTCCTTGTCAAGCTAGAGCCTAAACCCAAGGTCTCTGGCATCTCTCTGTATTCCTGTTTTCATATTTTACATGATACCATGAAACGTTTAGCTGGATTCTGGAGTCAGGATGCCTGGGTCCTAAAACAAGCTTGGCTCCTACCCCCACTGTATGAGACTGAGCCACTGGCTTAACAGCTCTGAATCTCTGAGTCCTCATTTTCAGCATGGGATGGTGAGTATCTTCTGCCTTGCTGAGTTAATGAGGATTAAATGAGATAATGTTTGTAAAAAATTTTGGACAGGGTCTGACACAATAGTAAGAATGCACAGGTTAGCTGCCACTGCAAGTGTTCTTTTATTACTCGTTCTTACCAAAACCCTTCCCACAACTACTGACTTTCTTCATAACCCTTTCACTGTGCCCCCTGAACTCTACCTTCTATTATAAATAAATTCTCCTGTTAACCAACTCTGAGAAGTCCCCTCCACTTATTTTGCAGTTGCTGTAACAAAACTGGCTCTGGGCTGGGCAAATGGCTTCAGTTGTGGCTGTTCCGTGGAGGGTTCTCAGGCTTCCATACCACAGGGAACAGAGGGCCACTGTCCTGCCTTCCCAGGGCCACTCCAGGCACTACGCATCTGCTGTGAGGGGACGCTTCCCTTCCCCCGTGTTTTCTTAGGCCCACATCAACATCGTGCCTTACCTCCCCAACCCTTCCCATGGCTCAGACGTCCCAGCCACTCAGAGAACTAGAGATGGCCTTCACAGCACTTGCTGGCCACATACCTTCCTAAGGAAACTGCTGGATCCACAGGTCCTATTGTCTAAAGCAGATGTTTCATGCCCTAGTCCACTGCCACCATCACAACGGTAGGGGTGAGCGCCAGTGACGCAAAGTCTGCCCAAAGCTTAAAAAGACTTGAGTAGTCTTTCCTCTCCTGGAATCCGAACTAAGAAACACAGAAGAAGACCCTCCACCGGGAAGAGCTGAAGCTAAAAGGATGCACAAGGTGGAAGAAGGTTGTATGTACTTCCAAACTGTGAGCAAGCAGAAAATATAAGGAAAATGATGACTCATAAGCAGAAGTTATGAGGAAGAAAGGACATAGAGCAAAGCTGATAATGAGAAGAGAAAAGCAGGTCCACAGAACAGCGCCCACAAAGGACACTAGAACTGCATCATCAGATGACAAATCCTTTCTAATCCCGGTCTTCAGGAGTGGTGAGCATCAGCCCCTCTTAGTGGGAGCTCAAGCTAGCCTGCTCTTCACAAACCTGAAAACCCTCCTTGGGTAGGACTCCAACCTCTGAAGACTGGCACGTGGCTCACTGTCCTGTCCATCCTACTATTGCCATCATCACGTACCTTTAACACCAATTGACCACTGCTTCTCACCTTGGATGCCTCTCATGGATACTCTACCCAAACCACAAGCCCTGCTAGAGCAAAGCACAACAGCTTGTACCCACTGATGCTGTCCCCAGTGTAGGGCCCCATGCGCCAGCACCCCCTAAGTGCCATTCCCCACGGTGGCTGCCCCAGACTTTCCCACTCTCTCCAAAGTGCCTCTGGACACCCCCTTTCAGCAGACTCCCTTGAGAAATTGAGGCTAGTAGGAATCTTCACTCTCGTTCCCCCATTATTAATGGCTGTAAAATATTCTAAATTTAAGCAATATCACAGATACTTGACCCTCCCTCCCTCCGTCCCTTCTTCCCTCCCTTCCTTCCTTCCATTCCACTGTCCTTCACCTTCTCTACCTTTGACAGAGCCAGCTTTTCGGTGATCTTCCATTTTCCAAACAGCTTGGTATCACACACTATTGCAGTTTGAATTAACTTTCGGTTTACAGTTAAGAGTTTCGTCGTCTTACACTGGGAAGTATCTGGCCGGCAGTTCTTCCCTACCCTTCCTTACCTAACATACTGCCAGGCTGCAATCATGGCAGGTCAGGAACATTGTTATAAACATGAAATTAAAAGGCACATCTGTGAAAGTTTTGTCTAATGATTTGGGCTTTAGCAGTATTTTGTGTTTCCTTGAAATCATATATTTTATATTGTTGTTATAGGCACATGAATTGATGGAGAAGTTAAAAGACAGATAAAAGTCCCTAAGTCCCCCCAATACGTCATTCATCCCACTTTTCAAAACAGGAAGAATACATACTAGCCTAATTAAATCCTACCTCTGCTGATAATAACCGCTTACCTAACCTTCTTCCTGAAACCTCAATCATGCATGCTATTTAGTTCCCTCACATCACGCTGGAGAGATGCAATGCAATCTCTATATGTAGTTCATAAACTTTTAGTCCTTTAGAGCAACATATTTAGAAGGAAATTATTACAGATATTAAAATGATGCTCATTTAAAAAACTCTAATTTGGAAATAGTGGTATTTTTAGAGATGTCAAACATCCTGATCTAATTCTTTTTCATCAGCTTCCACATTATTTTGGACGTTTTGTAGCTGCCTTAGTTTGGGATGGACTGTTTATTATTTTTTGAAATAAAAAAATACTTAGGGAAGGATTAGAAGGACTAGTAGTATAAGCTTTCCAAAAAGAAGGAATTTTGGTCATAATAATATACCTGAAAACAGTTTTAAAAGGTCTTTGTAATGATACGTTTACAGCTGTATCACAGATCTTTTTCAGTTAAATACAAAGGTAAATATTACAAAACCAAGTCTTTTTACTAGTTTCACTTTCTAATTAGGCAAAATAACCAATACTTCACCACAGTAGTTAATCAAAACAAATTTTGATTTTTAAAAAGTTAATGAGGGGCAGGAGGAGCCAAGATGGCAGCATGGGTAGAGCAGTGGAAATCTCCTCCCAAAACCATATATATTTTTGAAAATACAACAAATACAACTATTCCTGAAAGAGAGACCAGGAGACACAGGACAGCAGCCAGACTACATCCACACCTGCGAGAACCCAGCACCTCGCAAGGGCGGGGGGTAAGATACAAGCTGTGGCCCAGCGGGACCCGAGCGTGCCCCCCACCCCAGCTCCCAGCGGGAGGAGAGGAGTCAGAGCAGGGAGGGAGAGGGAGCCCAGGACTGCTAAACACCCAGCCTTAGCCTTCCACACCAGGAGTGCAGACACACAGCGCATGGTGTGCTGGATACTAGGGAAATGGAACAGTAAAATCTGTGAGCGGGTCCCCACA